CCTGTCGATGATCAGAGGAAGTAGCATGGCAGCAGCAGATGAGCATGGAAAGAGTGAAACTGATGAGCAAAATGCATGGAAAATATGAAGTTTGGGCTGCCATTGTTGAATTTTGTGGAGCTTGCTTTGGAAAGGTAGTTCATATAAGGTTTTTGAGTGTTGGAATAAACTCCATGAGATTCGTTAATTTTTGAAGCACTTGAGCTTTGTTATGATCGCCTATGGAAACGAAGTTTTGTGCATTGCCGACCTTTACCGATTACTAAGATGTTCATTCTTCTATCAAAAATTGTTTCTGTCAAATAGTACAGCAAAAGTGCTGATTACAAGAAAAGAAAATAATGTAAAGAAATTTAATTCGACAAAGTAAAATTTATAATCCGAATTGCATTTGATTCAGTCTGAAAAGGTCATAAAACGATTGGATTGACGAAATAATAAAATGGGTAAACTACATCCGATACCACTAAACATTGCCAGTTGATTGTTTATACAACTGAATTTTCAATTTTGCCAATTATAGCATTGAACTTTAGTTTTACATTCAATTATGCCGCTCCGCAATTAAGTCACTAACGAACGCTGAACTTTTGGTGGGACTATTCAGATGCTTAAAACGATGTCGTATTAGACACTAAACTTTTGGGTGTATAGATTTTGCTACTAAACTTCTAAACAATTTTCTTTTTTACCACTACAGTTTTTGGGCACCACCGGCATCCAAGCACCGCTGTACATTGGTCATATGTCACGGCAATACCAGTACTAAAACATTCTTATTTCGCTCCTCTTTTTTCTCCTAGGATTGTTTTTCTATGAAACACACTCAAAATCGACGAAAATCCATTTAAAAGTTCAATGTATTAATACTTCGATCCCTTTCAATGATCGATCGATGAAGCTAGCTTTGAGGTATGTTGTTCGTCTTCACGAAATAATGCTTTTTACCATTCAGATTTTTTAACAAACACCTCAAAGCTCGTAAATCTAATAAAGTATCCAAACATTTAAAAAATGGTAGATTTTTTGTGTTTAATTTCGTCAATTTTGAGTGGGTTAATGGAGAACCAATCATATGAGAAGAATGAGGATTCAAATGTGAACATTTTGGTACCGATTTTGCTACGAAAGATGATCGGTGATTGGTTGTCAGCGGTGGTCGAAAAATGCAATGGTAAAAAAGAAAACTATTTAAAAGTTCAGTGACATAATTGATACACCCCTAAGTTTAATTTCTAAAACGACATTGTTTTAGGCATGAGGACAATCGTACCAACACGACATCGTTTTGGTGTTACATGCCATGTTAGCAACCGTTAGCCATGTCATCCTCCAGTTAGTGACTTAACGGCAGAGTAACATAATTGAATGTAAAACTAAATTTTAGTGTTATAATTGACAAAATTGAAAGTTCAGTGGTATAAACAAGTCAAAAGACAAAGTTTTGTGGTATGTGGTGTAGTTTACCCTAATAAAATAAAAATTAAAATTAAAATAAATGAATTTCTTTTATTATTTCATTATTATAATAAATTTCTCTTTTATTCTAATTTTATAACGTTTACCACATAATATGTTCTTGTTTTTATTTATTATTATTTTATTACTTTGTGGTTTACTCGTCATTAAACTACACATGTTCAACTTATTATATACATTGACTCATTAATTTAGTCCATTCATTATTTGTTAAATTTTGCACGAATCGACCTCAGTGGTAAAGGAATTATTATCATTCCTTGAGGTTTCAGGTTTGAAGACTATGAATATTAGGGGTATGAGCGTTCAATATCAAATAGTTGAGAGTTATTTTTTAACAGATATTGTCTTGTACTGACCCCAAATTAATAATCAAAAATATTTATTAAATTACTCTATGATTCTATCAATTTGATCTCTTTTATTAAATAGTTTAAACAATTTTCATCAACTGGTTAAATGTTCTTAGATTTGAGGAATTTGGGGTATTTGTTCAAAATTCTGTATAAAGAGAAGCATTATTTTGAGAAGACGAACAACATACCTCAAAACTAGCTTCATCAGACAATCATCGAAAGAGATTAGAGTATTAGAACATCAAACTTTTAAATGAATTTTCATCGATTTGAATAAATTTCGTGAAAAATCAATTCTAAGAGAAGAAAGCAAAGTGAACATTTTGGTATCGACCTTTTTAGGAAAGATGACTAGTAACGAGAGGTGATTGGCTGTCAGGGACAATTGAAAAAGTATAATGTCGAAAACATATTTGCTTAAATGTTTTGTGGCAAATCGATACATTCTTAAAGTTCAATGCCTTAAATAATGTCGTTTTGAGAATCAATAGTTGTCGTCAAAACGACGTCATTTTGTCCACATCATCAAAGTGACAAAAAGAACTTTCCACATCATCGTGCCGTTAAAAGTTAATAGCCTAGGGGCATAATTGAAGTTAAAATCAAAGTTCAATGCTATAATTAGAAAAAATAAAACGTTCAGTGGTATAAACGATACACTACCTAAAGTTTAATAGTATCTCGTGTATCGTTATAAATATTATAAAAATATATCAATAAATAGATCAAATTAATCTCAAATATAGTTTAACATAAATAATATTTTGGTTAAAATTATAATAAGATTCTAAGTTGATTTAGTGATTAGGTGTTAGGCTTTTATCCTTAAAGGGTCCTTAGTTCAAATCCCCTTTATGCATTTTTCCCCCTCAAATCTCCTCATTAAAACGATGTCATTTTAGACATGGTATCGATGAGGCATCCATGTCGATGATCATCATCCACGCCATCGTATCATTATCGAATTAACAACCCATTGGTATAATTGAAAATGAAAATTCAGTGCTTTAATTGAAATAATTAAAAGTTTAATGGTATAAATAATACATTGTATAAACTTCAGTGGATTTGGTGTAGTTTACCCTTATTTATATAAGTGTAAACTATATCATTGATAACTCAACTATCTTCTCATTCCTATTATGGTCATTGAATTTTAAAAAAATCAATTTAATCACTTAACTTTTGAATTGCTCTTGTTTTGGTCTCTATATGATAATATGTATTATTTTATTGTTGTTTTCATATGATGTGGCATATTTTTATTAGTACTTTAATGCCACATAGGATTATAATAATAAAAAAATTTTAAAAAACCTCAAATTATACCCTTAAAATTTAGCCCAAAATCTTAAACCCCTAAACTCTATATCAAATCCTAAACTCCAAATTACAACTCATACCCACCCTCACCCTCAACAACCTTACCCTCCCACCAGCGAACGATGACTCATCGACGAATTCTCCCTCAATCACTTCTTCTTCTCTTGTTAAGCTCTCATACCACCAAAAGACTCAACAAGTACGATTATACTGACGAGTGGTGGTTGCTACTGTCTGCATCTCCATGTCCCCTAATTTAGGGGTGTTCATACTTCGGTTAAAACCAAATTAATCGATAAAATAAAAAAAAAATTGGTTAATCAGTCCATTAATTTTAGATTCGGTCCTTTAATGGTTTATGAATTTTTCAAACTTCGATTGTCGGTTAATTCAGTTCAAAATTAGTTAATTAAATTAATCGAATTAACCAAAATATTATATTTTTAATATATTATATATCTTACGTATATGTTACTTAGCCTTAGGTGTGTTTAAACTTCGTTTTAACTGAATTAACCTAAAATATTAAATAGTTAATGTATTATTTATATTATTTACATATTCTTTATAAATTTCGGTTTTATTCAGTTAACCAATCGAATTAATCGAAGTTTGTTTAGTTTGGTTAAAATTTTTTGAAAAAATTTTGATTCGATTAACGGTTAAATGATGAAAATTTTTAGTTAATGAATTTTGGATAGTTCGATACGGTCGGTTAACCGAATCGATCGATTGAACACCCTACCCTAACCTACTGGTTATGAACTCTCTGTTGTTATACGTCGATCACCGCTAACATCTCAAGTAAGACATTCACCCCAATTTTTTTCTCGAGTGCTTCCACCTGTTGAACCCGAAACACCCCGACACTGCTTGCCCTTGATCTTGTGAAATTATTTATGGAGATCTTTCGATGCCTTAAGTTAAATGGGCGTTTATGGGTTATAGATTATGGGAGTTTGAAGAATTAAAACTTCGTAATAATGTAATTTATCCTTTATATTATATAATCTTTTGTACAGAGAAAATATATTTTTTGGTCAATTTTTTTCGTTGGGTTATTAATAGTGGAAATCACTTTGAAGAATTAGTAAATTATTTTTTAAAATATTTGATTCACTATATATATATATATATATATATATATATATTATTTTAATATTTTTGAATCTGTAACATGACATTTATAAAAAAATTAGAATCCAAACTTAATTAAAACTCTTAATTTTCTATATTTTTAATCAATAATAAATATTAAATGAATTTAGTTAATTTCTTTTAGATTACATGAAATTAGATTTCCGATAGGTTTTATTTATATGCATATCCAAAACTATTTATTTTTTGTTGTTTAGATATTAATGTAGTTTTTAAATATTTTAATTTATATTTTTTAGTTTTTATAATTTTTTATTTATAGGGATAATATAAACAATTTTTATTTACAGAGATAATTATAAAATAATATCAAAAAATAATTTAAAATATAAAAAAATTTGAATTTAGTTTGAACTCTAATCACATTATAGATAATATGTTATGATATTAATATATTGAAATAATATACATTTTAAATTAAATATTAAAAAGATAAGAGCACTCGATAAGAGCACTTCAAACCGACTCTTAGTATAAAATAGGCCTATAAAAACACTTTTTATTTACCTTATTTTCCAAGCAAATATTTTTAACCTAAAATATATTATATTATAAATAATCATAATCAGGTCAAACAAATTCATTCTTGTTTCTCTGAATACTAGAATCGACAAGGAAGGGGATTTCATTTATAACAAATTCTTTTTTTAATCGATTCTATTTTCTTTTAGTACTGAAATACAAATGGAAGGAGACATCCTTAGATCACTGCCTCCAGGTTATAAGTTCAAGCCAAGAGATGAAGAGCTGGTTGATTTTTACTTGAAAAGAAAAATCTACAAGAGACTATTGCCACCCAACATCTTCAGAGACGTTGATCTCTACAAGTATGATCCTCTTACTCTGACAGGTTTGTCTAAAACCCTATTATTCTTTTTCTTTGGAATTTTGGTGTTTTCTTGATATATATATATATTTATCACTTGCCGATAATTTTTTTTTAATTATTATTTTCATGTTGTCAGAGATGTGTGATAATGCTTCGTCAAATGGCATAATAACGGAATGGTATTTTTTCACACCTAGAGATCGTAAATACCCAAAAGGCTCGAGGCCTATGCGAAGTGCCGGTGATGGGTACTGGAAGGCAACTGGAAAGCCTATTCCGGTCATCTCTAGAGGAGAGGAAATCGGATCCAAAAGGAGTTTGGTTTATTGTAGAGGAAAATCAGCTAAAGGTGAAAAAACCGATTGGATTATGCATGAGTATGTGTTAACCAAAGCTCCACCAAGACAGAGACGTAACGAACAAGACATGCAGGTAAGTGTAACTCTTCTTTTACGATTTTTTAAATATATGAAAAACTTTGGAAAGTTGTCGTACCTAACACTTATTCTCGACCCTTTTTTTCAGCTTGATGATTGTGTACTTTGTAGAGTATATAAGAGGAGGGAAGCAAGGTCAAAATCTGGAATCCCAGTTGAAGGAAGCAATGATAAAGAACAAGAGGAAGCTTATAAAGGTGAAGTAGCTCAGAATGAAGGCCAAATGCTGGAAAATGAGATTTCGCCTGATTCGACAGTGATGCCACAACAAACTAGTTCAATGCTCCCACAGTTTTCGGAATCTTTTGGTGCTAGGACAATGCCTGCTCCAATGGCATCAATGCCTCTTTATCATCAGTTTCAACTGCAAGTGCCGCCGCTGCCGCAGTTTTCGGGTGCTGGTCCTAGCAATTTGAATTTCACAGCGTCTGATGGGTTCTTCTTAGATGTACAACAAGTGGAAGTTGACAATGATGCAATTGTAGCTAAGAGCGAAGCCGGAGTGATGGAAAATGGGATTCTACCTGATTGCTTGAATACAATGATGCCACAACAAACTTTATCAATGATTTGTCTCGATGAATTCGATGACTATTATCTCCCAGAGTATCCAGAATCTTTTGATTCCATGTCCGGAGAAAACCCTACAAGTTTCAATCGACATGAAGCTGTTTCTGATTATTTTAATTTTACCTCAATGCCTACCCCATTGGCGTCAATGCCTCCTTATTATCAGTTCCAACCTCTTTGCTTTGAGCCGCAAGTGTTCCCCCAGCAGCAGCAGCTTTCTGGTGATTACCGAAGTAATTTTAACTTCACAGAGGCCGATGGGTTCGTTTTAGATTTCGAACAAGAGAATGCTGATGATAGTGCAGTCGTAGCTAAGAGTGAAGCCCAAAATGGGATTCCACGTTTTACTCAATGTAAAGAGTTTGATGATGCTGCCTTGAACATGGTGATGCCACAGAAACCAGTTTAAACATGTTTTGATCAAGTTCAGTTTAGATTTTTAGTGATTTCTCTCCTTTGAAACATTGTTATAAATTATTTCAATATTTGTTTAGGATATTGATCCATTATTGATTTAGGGTGTGCATTTTTTTGAGTTCATGAAAAATATTGTATAATAAAATTAATCTGATTTTCGAGTATCTTACTTTAGTTAATATTATAGCTACGGTTTGATCTGTGTACCGACACAATTTAGCATGTCTGACTCGTAACCTTCACTTTTTCAGAAAAAAGATTTGAGTTTTCTATAAGTCGACTTGATCAGGTTTTTCTGAACAACATGGAGTTTGTACTTTGCTATATCAAAAATTAAGGGTAATGTAATTTCTCGGGTATTAGGTCAACGGAGATAAGTTAATCCAAAGGCCTATGGACCAGTATAGTTAAGTAATAAGAGTTGTGTTAAATTTAAGTTTAATTAGTGAAGAATTGGACCCAAATAACTATAAAAAGGAAAATTATTAAATCAAAAGAAGGACTAATGTTGTAACTATACTCTTGAGGGGTAAAAGGCTGATTTCCATTATAATTTTCCCTATGTCACACATTGGGAAGTGTTGTAGAAAGCTGGACACTCTCGAGCATCAAGATAGAAACTTCATTTAGTTGTATTGCTTGGACAAATTTTAGGTAAGGGCAATGATATTTATAAATATTTTTTACGGTGAGAATATATATATTAATAATATAAATTATTTGTATGGATGAGTATAAATAAAATTTTAGAGTGCACATCATCTATAAAGTAAGTAATTATCAAAGAAAATTTAAATTTTAGAGTAGTCACGTAAGCACATATCCACCACTAGTAAGGGCGGCAATCTACGTCTTCAAAGCTTGGTTTTGATCTCAATGGCTCCAAGGATTGTGTTGTAGCTAGTTTTGGGAGCTATAAGGAGGATTTTGATCGCTCCAAATGATTGTTATGATGACCTATGGAAACAAAGTTTTTGTTGTGAAATTTGGGTTAATTTCCACCAATAATAACAAATTCACCTTGAAAACTATTATCTAGGTGACTAATGTGAAAACGATTGTACTAAAAATTACCCCAAGATAGATTCTCAGGAAAGAGGAGGAGTCACAATGGTCCCTTTTAAAACCCACTTTCCTTAGACATAACTACCAAGACAAATAATTTTAATAGAACAATAATTAACAACAACTATACCCGACAATAGCTATTAAATAGACATAAAAGAGAACACCAAAATTTAACGAGATTCGGCCAAAATTATGCATATGTCCTCGAACACTACTAAAATAATATTTTACTAATAGAGGAAATATTACAAAGAGAGAAAGAGTACAAATAGCCTTTAATAGTGAAGAAGGCTTATATTTGTGGGATGCTTAACTAAGGAGGATGAGGGATCTATTTATAACAAAAGAATTTCCCCTCCTACTTATACACAACCAATGTGGGACTTTGCCAAAAACACTAACAAATCTCCACCTTGGCAAATTCCACACATATCTCTAAAAAATTCAATCTTCAATAGTGTATGCAAATTCATCTTTCAATTTGTAAAAATATTGACCAAGTCTAAACAATGTTTAAACTTGACTGTAGTTACCACTTTTGTCAACATATCAGCAGGATTATCAGTGGTCTGAATCTTCTAGATTATGACTCCACCTTCTTCTAGAATCTCTCGTACAAAGTGATATCGAACATCGATGTGCTTCGTCATTGCATGGCAAACCTGGTTCTTTGCTAAATGAATAGCACTCTGACTGTCACAGTGAACTTTGATGTGCTTCTGTTCCATTCCCAATTCACCAAGCAACCCTTGAAGCCAAAATGCCTCCTTCACAGCCTCTGTAACTGTCATATACTCTGCCTCTGTAGTAGACAAAGCCACTGTTGACTGTAAGGTGGACTTCCAACTGACTAGTGTCTTTGCAAATATAAACACATAACCAGTAATTGATCGACGCTTGTCCAAATCATCTGTATAGTCTGAATCACAATACCCAACTACACATTGACCATCTTGTTTGTCCTGCTGAAAGACCAAACCAACATCTACGGTGTTTAGAATATACCGCAGAATCCATTTCACAGCTTGTCAATGCTCCTTTCCATTATCATGCATATACCTGCTTACAACCCCAACTGCCTGTGAAATATTGGGTCTCGTACACACCATTGCATACATCAAGCTACCAACAGCACTTGTATACGGAACCTTTGACATGTATTTCCGTTCTGCATCATCCTTAGGTGACATGGATTCACCGAGCTTGAAATGAGGAGCAAGAGGTGTACTAACTGGTTTTGACTTCTCATTCATGCCAAAACATTTTAGTACCTTCCTCATATATTCTTTCTGAGACAAATAAAGCCTCCCCAATTTCTTATCCCTTGATATCTCAATGCCTAGAATCTTCTTCGCTTCACCAAGATCCTTTATCTCAAACTCCCTGTTCAATTGAGTCTTTAGTTTTGCAATTTCTGTCTGACTCCTGGAAGCTATCAGCATATCATCAACATAAAGAAGAAGATATATATAGGATCGTCTTGTAGCTTGCGTAAATACACACAATGATCATATTTGCTTCTTGTGTACTTCTGCCCTATCATAAACTTGTCAAATTGCTTATACCACTACCTTGGAGATTACTTCAAACCGTGCAGCGATTTTTCTAATTTGCATACCATCTTTTCTTTTTCAGCAACTTTGAATCCATCTGGCTGAGTCATGTAGATTTCCTCATCCAAGTCTCCATGTAAAAATGCAGTTTTTACATCAATCTGAACTAGTTCAAAATCCAACTGCGCTACCAAAACCAACAAAATTCTGATGGAGGAATGTTTTACAACTGGAGAAAATGCTTCATTATAATCAACTCCCTCCATTTGAGCGTAGCCTTTAGCCACCAATCTTGCTTTGTAGCGGATATTATTCTTGTCAGGAAATACATCTTTCTTTGCATATACCCACTTGCACTCAATTGCCTTCTTTCCCTTCAGAAGACTAGCTAGTTTCCACATCTGATTCTTTTGAAGGGATTGCATTTCTTCATTCATGGCGATCCTCCACTATTATGTTCTAAACTTTGGATTGCTTCATTAAAAGTGGCAGGAACGTCATCAATTGCAATTGGTGATGCAAAAGAGACCATATCATCATAACAAGCAGGTTGTCTAATGATCATCTTTTCCTTTCTGAGTGCAACTGATTCATGTTGCTGTGGAGGTTCTTGGGTTTGAACCTCTTCTTCATCTGACTCTTCTTCTACCATAGGAGAGTCAATATCAATTTCTTTACTGGCTGGGTCAATTCTGCTTCCTTCAAACTCCACCTGTTTGGGAGTTCCATCTGTCTGCTCTAATTTTTCTAAAGTCACCTTTCTCAACATGGTAGATTCATCAAAGGTAACATCCTTACTGAAGATTATTTTCTTTGTTTCTGGACACCAAAGACGATAGCATTTCACACCAGAGGTGATCCCCATAAAGATCGCCTTCTTTGCTTTTGGATTCAACTTTGACTCCTTAGCATGGTAGTATGCAGTGGAACCAAACACATGTAAGGAATCATAATCTGTAGCAGGTACTCCAAACCATTTCTCTAATGGTGTTATACCACCAAAAGCAGTCGATGGTAAGCGGTTGACAAGGTGACAAGCATAGACCAAAGCCTCAGCCCAAAATTTTTTGCCTAACCCAACATTAGACAACATACACCGAACCTTCTCCACTAATGTTCGGTTCATACGCTCTGCCACCTCATTCTGTTGTGGTGTACTTCTGATAGTGAAGTGCCTGACAATACCTTCTTCTTCAATGACTTTCAGAAATGGATTATTTTTGTACTCTTCACCATTGTCTGTACGGAGACGTTTGATTTTTCTGCCTGTTTGAGTCTCCACCATCTTTTTCCATTTAAGGAAAAATCCTAGCACCTCATCCTTTGTCTTCATTGTATACACCCAAACTCTCCGGGAAAAATCATCAACAAAGGTAACATAATAGTGTGTTCCTCCCAATGAAGTTGTCTTGGAAGGCCCCCATACATCTGAATTAACATAATCCAAAATACCTTTAGTATCATGGATTGATGTTCCAAATTTCACCCTCGTCTTCTTCCCTTTTATGCAATGCTCATAAAAAGCTAATTTGCAAGCCCGAGCACCCTTCAATAATCCTTGATCTATCAGCAATTTCAAGGATTTTTCACCAACATGCCCCAAGCGCATATGAAATAACATGGTTGCTTCTGACTCTTGTTCATCAGTAGAAGCTGCCACTGCTGTTGTCCCAACAATTGTACTACCCAGAAAGTAATACACATTGTTTCTTTTCCGAATTCCCTTCATTATCACCAGTGCACCAGAGATAATCCCCATAATCCCATCTTTTGCCCCCACTTCTAAACCTTTTGACTCTAAGGTTCCCACAGAGATGAGATTTCTCATTAAATCTGGTACATAATGGACACCTATTAAGGTTCTGATTGATCCATCCTGATTCCTTAAGTGAATTGAACCAATCCCAAGTATGTCAGGAGGGGAATTATTTGCTATGTAGATAATTCCACCTTTTAGTTCTTTAAAATCAAAGAACCATTCTCTATTGGGGGTCATATGGTGGCTACAAACTGAATCTAACAGCCATGAACTGGAACAACTGGTTGATGGTGTAGCAGCGAATGCAAAATCTGAATCTGCATCATCATACTCGACCACATTTGATTCTGAGACAGCCTTTCCCCTTTCATGTTTGCCTTTATTCTTTAGCCTGGGACATTCTTTCTTCCAATGCATTTTTCTTGACAAAAGGCACATTCATCTTTGCTCAATCTGGACTTTGACTTCGATCTCCCTCTCCTTCCTTTATTCTGACTCTTCGAACGGCCTCTAACAACAAGAGTTTCTACTTCGACACTTGTGTTTTCTTGTTTGTCTTTCTTTCTCAATTCATAATTATACAAGGCAGCAGTTACTTCACTAAGAGACATCAACCTTCCCATGAAGTATAGTAGTTTCAAGATACTCAAACTCATCAGGAAGTGATCCCATCAACATTAGAGCTAGATCTTCGTCTTCAAAAGTCACGTCCATATTCATCATATCAGTCACCAGCTGATTAAAGCTAGTAATATGATCATTCATAATGGTACCTGGTACATAGTTGAAGCGGAACAATCTCTTTTTCATGTAGAGCTTGTTCTAACCGCTTTTCTTCAAAAATTTCTCCTCCAGTGCTTCCACAATTTACTTGCAGAAGTTTCCTTAGAAAATGCATACTTCTGCTCTCTAGAAAGACACGATCGAATAGTACCACATGCCAATCTATTAATCCTCTTTCATTCTTTCTCCTCAACATCATATGGTTTCTCTCATTCAATAGCAATGTCTAGACCCTGCTGAAATAGGGCATCTAGAACCTCACTTTGCCACATGCCGAAATGACCGGTGCCATCAAAAATCTCCACTGCAAATTTAACATTTGTCACAACATTTCTTGCGGATGTTTTTGTGTCGTCTGTCATTTCTGCTACAAATTCTATTTAATAACTGCCAATGCGGAATGTCAATTACCCCATGGAAATTTTTTCTGATGTGGAAGATCAGCCTAAGCCGCAACCACAGAGCATACTAAAATAAACCAAGAGCGCTGATACCAATTATTGTGGAATTCGGGTTAATTTCCACCAATAATAACAAATTCACCTTGAAAACTATTATCTAGGTGACTAGTGTGAAAATGATTGTACTAAAAATTACCCCAAGATAGATTCCCAGGAAATAGAAGGGGTCACAATGGTCCCTCTTAAAACCCACTTTCCATAGACAGAACTACCAAGACAAGTAATTTTAATAGGACAATAATTAACAACAACTATACCCGATAATAGCTATTAAATAAACATAAAAGAGAACACCAAAATTTAACGAGGTTCGGCCAAAATTATGTATATGTCCTCGAACACTACTAAATAATATTTCACTAATAGAGGAAATATTACAAAGAGAGAAAGAGTACTAATAGCCTTTAATAGTGAAGAATGCTTATATTTATGGGATGTTTAACTAAGGAGGATGAGGGCTCTATTTATAACAAAAGAATTTCCCCTCCTCCTTATACACAACCAATGTGGGACTTTGCCAAAAAACCAACAGTTTTGTGCTGCTTTGTTATGATCGCCATTGAATTTTGTGGAGCTTGATTTGGAAAGGAAGTTTTTTTGGCTAAAACGGGAGGGTTGTGTTGGTATTATTTTTATTTAGGCATGGACCTTATATAGATTCTCTTGAGAATCTTTCTATATCCACTTCATTGAATTTTATATTAAATAAAATATTTACCGTGTAAAAAAATACATAATTCATCGTTTAACTATCTTCTAACTCTATTTTGGTCATTGAAATTTTAAAAAAATTTGATTTAATCACTCAAATTTTGAATTACTCCTGTTTTAGTCATTCTATGATAACATAGTCTGTTTTATTATTGTTTTTCTATGACATGGTATATTTTATTAGTATTCAATGCTATGTAAGATTCAAAGTAAAATAAAAAAAATACCCTAATCCCAAACCTAAACCTTAATGCCTAGTCTACAAACCTCAAACCCAAATTTTCACTCTCATTGCCACACCCTCAAAATCTTACTTCCCACCCCAATTATAAAAAACCATATTTCCAATCGTAGTTGATATATATTTATATATAGTAAATTACACTAGTTTTGAGGTATGTTGTTCATCTTCTCAATTTTTTTTTTTGTAAAATTGGTACTTTGTATTGATTAGGATACAAGGTACACCACCCTATGGACCTCATTAAAAAACCTCCCTAAACCTATTGGAGGAAAAAGAGTGAACCATGAGGTGGAAAGAATAGAAGTCGTAATCGAGCTCCTGAGAAACTGCAGGAGACTACAAAGAAACGTTTAACCTGCTATCATGAAAACAACTACAAATAGAGACATAAACCAGCCAAGAAGACCACAAAATGAAGAGTTGCAATGCAACTAATCATATAACCTCCTGCGAAAAGGCACCAAATTAGAACTCAACAAATCCACTACCGGTGAAACCACCATAACACCTCAGAACCCGAGAATACAACACCAAGGACCATCCAAATAGCACTCCCATCACCCTCGCATAAAAAAGAACCCTATATAGTCCTAGACTCACTTCATTACAAGCTATAATCAAATCAAATTACACACTTAAGAAAACGGACCAGAACCCCGCAACACATCTTATCAAATTAATACTTTTCACCGTTTGTATTTCCAAACAAACACCCAAACCTCTTAAATGTGAGAAAGCCCTAAAATCTATAAAAATGATGAAGTTTTTTTTGGGCTTTAATTTCATCAATTTTGGGCAAGTTTCATGAAAAACCAATCATATGAGAAGAAAGAGTAGCAAAATGTGAACGTTTTGATATTGATCTTGGCGCGAAAGGAGACTGGTTACGGGCGATGATTGGTGGCAAAAAAAGTACACATGTTAAAAGTAAAATGTTTAAAAACTATATATACTTAAAATTTAATGTCTAAATCAACAACGTTTTAAGCATCAATAGTCACATTAAAATGATATAATTGAAGTTAAATTCAAAATTTAATGTTATAATTGAAGCAATTGAAAATTCAATAATTATAAGAAACATACCATCTAAAGCTCGATGATATCTTATGCAATTTACCCTATTATATATTACTTGTTGAACCGAAAACCGACTCTTGTCACTGGTTTAATACTGGGTCCCATATTTAAATAATTGAAAATTTCAGTCATGCAGTGGAAGACTAAGCAACAAATGAATGCCAGAGTGTCGGAGAGAAGACAAAGATGTACAATGTTTTGAACTGATGTTTCATGAAAAAGAAAAAAACAGTCTAAACTCACTGTACTTTGTATTTTCGAACAATACAAGTACCAAAGATTTTTCCTTTAAAATGTTTCTCCTCGTCAATAATAGATAGTGATATATTGTGTAAGGTACACTATTTGTTCATGGATGAGATCAGGGAAAGCCACATGTCTGCCTTTACCATGACTAGAAAAACTATTTGTTCATTTACTGTTACCAACAGTCTCACAATCACATGTGATATTAACTTCATGTCATTTGGATCATTAGTTTCTCTTCTTAAATATATTTTTCTTTTTTGCAAGGGAATGGTTATGTTTTAGTGTTTTGAAGGGATTAAGAAAATTTTGCCTCCATCAAGTTTGCTATCTCATTCTATAATTTTTTCTTTCGAATTGAATTTATTGATTCGTAAAATCTATTCTTTTTGAATAGTTTGAGGGATTAAAAGATAATATATGTTTAGAATTTTTTTTAATTTATTATCAACATACACACACTTTACACATGCAGTTAAACATTCTCTTTTATCATTAATGTCACTTGATAAGTTCTATTCGTAAAATCTAATAAACATGAATCATTCTTAACTTATAATGATTTTTTTTTACGAATTCTAAATCTTATCTTACCTAGAGAGAGAAGGGAAAATGAAGACTTAAGAGAATGAATGAGAGTATTCTTAATGGATCTAAAAATCATGATCTAAAAAATATGAGGGAATAAAAATAAATAATTTAACCAACCGACCAAATGTGCTTATTCATACACTAAACCTTTGTAAAGAAGGGATTAACGTTCAATTATTTCAATTTAATGTAATAATTTTAAATAATTCATATCGTATTTATATTGCATTTTATGTAAAAACAATAATATACATTTTTGAAACATTAATTCATGGTACTGTAGTTGACTGTTTTAGGGAAAATCCATTTTATACTCCAACCAATGCACATAACAGAAACAAGAGTCCCACATATTATAGATTAAGTGTGTCACCTACATGTATATCTGTATATAAAATCTGCAGAATCCTGCAAATCTCTTTCATTTCGTTCATCAACCATTCCTTTCTTCCCCTCCCCCCCCCCCCCCAAATTACATCTTTCATTTCTTGTCCGAAACTCATATCATCAGATCTTCACAAATCTCTTTCATTTCGTTCATCAACCATTTCCTTTCTCGCCCCCCCCCTCAACCCATACACCCCAATTACATCTTTCATTACATCTTTCATTTCTTGTCCGAAACTCATATCATCAAATCTTCACACTATCTTTTTCATGGAAGAAACCAATGAACCCTTCCATGTACCACAACAAAACAGAAGAAACAAACTTAGGGTCGTCACCGTTGGAACCCACCAAGAAGACCTGGAACAAGCTCTCATGCATGGGAATTTCTCACAATCTTCCAACATCATTCCCCAGGGTTTATCTTTGTCTCTATCGTTTCAACACCAGGATAATCACAGCATGAGCTTGGAAGCACAGAGGGACAACGGGAATCCGATCTTGGAAGGCCTTTTGAAGCAGAACAATGTACAGATGAGAAGCTCAGTTCCACTCGGTCCTTTCACCGGCTATGCTTCTGTGTTGAAGAGTTCAAGGTTCTTGAAGCCCGCAGGGCAGATTTTGGATGAATTTCTGGGTTTGGATTATGGAGTTTCAGACATTCCATTGGAGATCTTAGCTGAAGATGGGGCTGATAATGATCCAATAACATGCAGTGACAAAATTCAACATCGTTGGAAGAACTCAAGGCTCATTTTGCTGCTAGATGAGGTACATGCATAGTTAAATTTCTTCATATATAAATTATACATAAAAACTGTGTTTGATTGTTATCTGTCGAGGATCAGGATAAGTATTCAGTATTCCTCGGGGTAATATATATATATATTATATAGTAAGTTGTCAAAAAAGATGTCTTGTCTTGTCATATTAAATCAAGTTACTGTTCCTTATTTGTTTTGTTTGGTCTTGCCATTGTGTGTGTTGTTGGTGTCATTAAATTATTCAATTAAAAAATGATATATGAACAAATGTATGCTAAATTTGGAGCTTTCTGTAATATAGAGGCCTGTAAATGCTGACTCATTGGAAAACAAAAAATGGGGAATGTAGCTTCTTATTTGGGATCTGTATATATATATATATATATATATATATATAATAGAGAAAATAAAGATGAGAGAGTTCAATTTCAAAATATTTGAATAATTAGAAATTTATTGATAGTTAGGGAGATTTATATGTTTCCAATCTGTTGTTTTCTTGATCTGCATTAGGTATATAGGAAATACAAGTTGTATTGCCAACAAATGCAATCTGTTGTTGCATCGTTCAAGTGCGTTTCCGGACTTGGGAACGCGGCTCCCTATGTATGTTTCGCTTTCAAATCCGTCTCATCGCATTTTAGTTGCTTGAAGAATGCGATTCTAGACCAAATCCGGTTCGCTGACAAGGCTGGCGGTGTCGATAAACGTAATGTACCAAGCCTTTGGAGATCTGATCAAGGGATCAATAACCAGAATTTGATCCGGAACTCGATTTTCCTTCAACATCCGCTTTGGCGATCGCAGAGAGGACTTCCTGAGCATGCAGTTGCAGTGCTCAAGACATGGCTATTTGAGCATTTCCTGCATCCGTAAGTGATTGTTTTGGGAAAAGAAAACATATTTCGATACCATTGATAGTTCCTTTATAAGATTTCAAAGTTAATGGCATTGCAGTTATCCGTCGGATTCAGAAAAGCTGATGTTAGCTCAACAAACAGGTCTCTCCAGGACACAGGTGAACTTTATCAATACAAGCATCCATTTTTTTTCCTGAGAATCATTATGTTATGTTCTTATGAATTGGCTAATGCAGCAATGAAATGAGATATTCGTTACAGGTTTCAAATTGGTTCATCAATGCAAGAGTTAGACTATGGAAGCCAATGGTGGAAGAAGTTCATAATCTTGAATTAAGACAAACTCAGATTCAGACAGCATCATCTAAAGCAACGAGTCAAGATCCTAAACTGCCGCATTTCCTTGCAAGACAAGAAATTCAGAACATCCAAATGAAACGGCCGAGGAACAATGTATTCTACAATGAAGAAACCGAGCTGCAAAAGAGTTCATCATCTTACATCTATCAGATTCCAAGTAATCACCGCAATGTGGGAGTCGTTGGAACCAGCAGTTTCGGTTTAGCATTGGGTTTGAACCAAAATAATGGGGTTGAATTGGGACAACTTCCATTGCCAATGAACTTGTGTCATTATTTTAGCTCTGGAAGTGATGGTGAACTGAGTTTGAAACCTGATTTTGATGTTGGAAGACAGTAGCAGAATTGTTTTGTTATGTTGTTTTTATTGCTTTCTAATCCTTGGACTCGAAACTTCGAAAGATTTGTTATGCTATTCTATCTTCTCTCTTTTCTTTTCTTTTATGAAATTTAATATTTTTTAAATAAGATTTATGTATTATATCCAAAAGCAAACAGCAACCAAGTTGCTACAATCACAAAACAACCCTACACAAATAAATCAATTACCAATTCTTCACTCTATACAAATTCGCGGGTCAAGATTTCATACATTGTGACTAAAGAATATCGCTTGTTCAACCTCTTGAATCAATCCAATGAGCTCATGAACAATTCTAAGGCTATTGCTAAAACAATGTCTTTCGTTCTTCTCATATGAAGTATATACAAGTATTTCACACTAACTTGAGAAGGAAAACGCGCGGGGATTTACCCATAAGTGTAGCAGCAGCCCAAAAATTGCCCGTCCAACTCAGTTGGTAGAACGCAAGGCTCTTAATCTTGTGGTCATGGGATCGAGTCCCACGGTGGACAATACATAATCACCGGATGTCTTTCACGGAAGTTGCTCTCAGCCTAATGTTGGGGGCAGTCTACTATCCTACCTCCCCTTACCCCATTACATATAGGAATAGGGTCAGCTAATTGTAGCAGCAGCCCACCCCAACTCATGCTCCCAATCGAGAGAATGAACATCCAAAGAAGAGGTGATTTCTGGACTCTGGTTCCTCTCTACACAACACACTTCGTTCCTCAACAGCTACCCCTATGCGCAGCAGCTTATCTTTAGTTGCCAAATGATCCAGAACTGCCATCCATGTAATAATAGAAGGCCGAAGTATATGCACAGCAGCGAAAACCACAATAATTTCTTCCAAGAAACTCTATCCCTTTTCGTCTTTGTTTCATACCATATTCTTCTTGTTCGCCAGAGCCTCCATTCATCTCCAACAACCACAATCAACTCTTTTAGGAGCCCCTGAGCGAGAAGATTTTCCTCCAGCTCCAACTAAGATAACCTTTAAGTTCGAACCCCCAAGCGTCATCGCCTTTTATTACATAGGTTCTAAACCAAGTCACCACAAAGACCTCTCATTAGCGAGAAGCTTTCGAAATTAATATTTAATGAAATAAAAAATAAAGAAAAACATAAATTAAATAGTATAATTAATTTTAAAAACATGCTTAAAGCGTGTTAAATAAATATGAAAAATGTTAGTAGCATGCCTAAGTTCAAGATAAATCCGATTTGACTCAATCTAACACTTTTGGTTCCACGCAACGTAACATTTCTTTAAAGGAAAGACAAGATCAAGAATTTTATTTATATTTTCGTCTTGGGAATTATTGAGGGTATAAAACCTAAAATCATCTCCGTTTCACGACGGGTTATACTAAAATCATTTTCGTCCCATCATTAATATAGATTTCGAGGCTCATCTAATTTTCGTTATAGTCATCTCGTGCTAAAACCATTCTTGCCCCACCATTGACATGGGTTCCGATACTTATCTAGTCTTCATTATACTTGTCTTGTGACCCGCTTCATATAAAATGTTTAATTCCATCCACATACTATGACTTTTATTTTAACTTAGCCCTCAAGATTTTAATAATTCTAATTTCATTCCCAAACTATGACCTATTTTAAATTAGTCCCCAAACTTTTGAACATTTCAATTCCATCCAAAATTTCATGTATATGCTAATCACATATTGTTAATAAAAATCTTTAGGTCAAACCATATTATTATATGTTTGAAAGAAAATAAGTTAAACTATGGTTGAACTAATTGCATATTTGGATGAATTTAGGGATAAAATTGGAAGATTTAAAAGTTTGGCAACCAATTAGAATAAGGGTCATAACTTTGGGATGAAATTGGATTTTTTTAAAGTTTGAAGACTAATTTATAATGAGAGTCATAGATTAGAGAGAAAATTATAATATTTAAAATTTTGAAGACTAATTAAGAATAAATATCATAATATGAGAACGTGTGGTGCAATTAATTTTTATTAGGAAACGAGTGATTACTTACTCTGTTTTCAAGCATCCACAAGGATTACTCGAGTCTTGAGCAATACTAAAGCTTTGGGAATTCATCGGTGTATTTCATTGCTAAGCAAGGAATCAAAGATTAGAAAAGCAAGGAAAAGAATCCCCATTTTCTTTAACAAAGAAGAAAGAATGGAATCTGCTTTTGCTTGTTCGTTGTTCATTATTAATTTATCAACTTTTGATAGACAATAACAAAAAAGGAAGGAAGAAGGAAGTAATCTTACGACGAGTATTGTTAATCAGAAAATACACAGGCAGTCAGGCAGAACATCAGTCAATTTGAAATCCAAAAAAAAGGAGAAATGGAAGTGGCTATTGTGTCCTTGGTTGTTCGAAGAATTTCCGATTTACTCAGCCATGAAGCACTCTTCCTGAAAGATGCGCAAAAACAAGTTGAGAGCCTAAAGGCTGAACTGAAGCGAATGCAATCTTTCTTGGAGGATTCCAACCGTCAGCCGGAGCAAGATAAGCGTCTCCGTAATCGGGTGTCGAAAATTAGAGATCTTGCTTGCGAAGCTGAAGATATCATCGACTAATTCATTCTTGAACATGCACACCAAGGTGGCATTCAAGGAATAGTCGAGAGATTCACCTGCATTTTCACCAAGCCTGTTCATCAGCACAAAATCGGGGTGCAGGTCAAAGAAATCCAGACCAAACTTAAAAGCATTCGCGAGACTCTTCCAGCCTATGAGATACCTGGTGACGGAGCAGGATCTAGCTCTGTTTCCAGTATACAGCAGCGGTTAAGAAGAACATTCTCGCATGTTGAGGAAGAGAATGTCGTAAGCTTGGAGGTTAGCAGTAGCACCAATGATGTTGTGGCGCAGTTGAGGAAGAGGATGTCGTTAGCTTGGAAGCACAGAGGAACAACGGGAATCCGATCTTGGAAGGCCCTTTGAAGCAGAACAATGTACAGATGAGAAGCTCAGTTCCACTCCGTCCTTTCACCAGCTATGCTTCTGTGTTGAAGAGTTCAAGGTTCTTGAAGCCCGCAAAGCAGATTTTGGATGAATTTCTGGGTTTGGATTATGGAGTTTCAGACATTCCATTGGAGATCTTAGCTGAAGATGGAGCTGATAATGATCCAATAACATGCAGTTACAAAATTCAACATCGTTGGAAGAACTCAAGGCTCATTTTGCTGCTAGACGAGGTATATGCATAGTTATATTTCTTCATATATAAATTATAGATAAAAACTGTGTTTGATTAGCATATTGTAACTAAAAGAAAATATTTTTGTATCTTGGCTTAATTTAAAAATAAGTAATCAAATAATTACCAAAAGACAATGCAACTCGGAGAAGACAAGTAGCTCAAAATACAAGGATTGTTCGGTTCTAGTTTAATGTCGAAGATGTACAAATAGGTACGATGTAGTATCTCAACTCGAATAAGTTTACTTGTTGGTCGCTACAAATAGAAGTATATGCGATCATACCAGTTTTAAGGGTGTTACCAGAAATGCAGAGTTGCGTTTAAGGATGTATAAGTCAGTCATTTTGGATAGGGTAAGATCAAATATTTTTAAGTGTGGTATGCATCTTTAATCAGGATCAATAATGAGTTTAAGAGTCAGCTACACGTGAAGATGGTTAAAACACACCCACAACGTCCAAAATTGATATCTTCAACGTGAAGCTAGACTTATTAAGTTAAGTTACTAATCAATTTAACTAGTTAAGGATCTAACTGGAAGAAGCTAAACTTATTAGGTTCAATTATTAATCAATTAACTAATTAAGGACCTGATTGTAGGTAACTACACTCATTAGGTTCACTTATTAATCATTCAACTAATTAAGGAACTAATTAAGGACCTAATTGTAGGTAAATACACTTGTTAGATTCATTTATTAATGATTTTAATTAATTATGGACCTATTTGTAGGTAAATACACTTATTAGATTCGATTATTAATAAGTTTAACTAATTCAGTACCTAATTGCAAGAATATAAACTTATTAGGTTCAATTTTTAATGAAATTAATTTAATAAATACCTAATTAAACTTAACAGAAAATACAAAGGGCCAAATCAAATAAAACATAAATATATAAGGATTATGACATGATTTACCCAATAAAAATGCTAAACCTACAGCACTAGTCAAATCTGTCAGCCGGTCAAGGCACGAATCTTTCTCGAGTTGACCTGCTAGTTCGCCTCTTTAAAACCCAAATATTTTCTCTCTCGTTTTCTCACTTTCTAAAAAAGAAAAAGGTAAATTACATGTTTGGTATCTAAACTATTATTTTTTATGTTTAATACTTCAACTCTTATTTTTGTCAAAATCGTATTTAATATTTATTTTTTGTTTTATTTTAATATCCATTGTTAAAAACTTAACGATACAACTGATGTGGTAATTTTTAGTTAAATAAAATACTCTTGGTGAATAAAACTGATATTCTTAGTCTTTTTTAGTAAACGATTGAACTTCACCTGCTCAAAATTTCGTATCAGTGCTATGTCGAGACAATGACGGTAATGACCGGAGCTTTAGGGAGTCCATTTTCCTGGGATCAAATCGAGCATTGGCCGGTGAATTAAATATTACCACCACCGTCGAATTGTTGTTTTCATTTTAGTCTAGGAGAGATACGAGTAACCTTACAGGAGTATCAAATAATGCTTGAGCGTTTTGAAGAAGAAAACTCAGCCAAGGAGAGACGATGGAGATGGGAAAATGTTGGATTAGGGCATGAGATGTCTACTTCGAGAGTGGCTCCTTCTTCTTATCTTCTCACGTATCCAATTTCTTTCTAGCTTTTTCTACCTCCTTTTTCCAATCTGTTCCAAATGACACCAATTAGGACATAGTCAGGATTAAATATTAATAGGGGTCGGAATATTGAACTTCTTTTAAAAAAATACAATGGCTTATAAGGTATTTGGACTCAAAATTCATTAGACAATGCCTTTGTCTAATATTTAAACTTATAGTGACCTAAATTATTATTAGACCAAAAAAATTAAGAACATGAAATTATCTTGTTTAGTTAGGCACCTACTTAATTAAATATTTAATTAATTATTGTATTTTTTATTTATATATTTATTTTTATCTGAACTAAAATACTATTATATCAAAATTTATAGAATATATAAAATTGTTACAGGGCCAGAACCCTTTTCAACCTCAACATAGCACCGTCCCGGCCACCAATCATTCATGTCCATATTCCCTGGAAACCAAACTTGGCCTTTTATTACTTCATAATAAATATTCAGAATAAAAGAGCATACCTTGGCACCCAAATTGAAGGAAAAGTCAGGAAGACAACCCAAGGGAATCCCAACAACGTAATAGCAACCCACGTTCACGTATGGCACAAATGCTTTCCATCCATACCCCACAGCCACACCATGCAATTGATGTTCAAATTCATTTTCTTTTAATGTAATGTTTGATTGAAAAAAATTAAATGTTATTCCATTACCAGACAAAACAAGTTGAATGCCATTAAGGATGAGAGTTGATGCTAGAAGCGGAAAGAGATCTGAAACAGCCTCCGCCACCACTTCACCTTCTATGAAGACATAATCCGTTGAAACGATAAGATAAATCCTAAAAGAAAATATTTGTTTAACTCAATTTTATTATGATTTCTGAATCAACTCGAATTAAAAAAAAGGTAGAAGAAATATTTTTGAATCGTCTCATATTAAAAAGAAACATGGAAAGTTTCACCCACCTGATTGATTTCTTGCCAATGTGCATCAACCTTTAAACGAAAGGAAATGTTAAATGGTAGTAATAATAAAACATTATGCAAGTCATCGTCTCACTAGAAAAGAATAACCATAAATTATAGCCTATAAATAGGTTTTGGAAATCAATAGAGCACTTTCCTCTGAATTCTTTTAGAATTCGTTGAACCAACTTGCGTTGAATCCCAACTTTTTTCGTTCATCATCGTAATTCACTTGTTAACACAAATGTTAAACTCAAACGAATCTATATCATCTCGAATTTAAAAATAAGAATAAAATATGTCTTAAGATTGTTATACAAAATAACAATTTGAGACAAAATCGAACCTAAGAAATAAAATAAAGGAATTTAAATTTTTTTAAAATAAAATAAAAATATATAGAAAGAAAAAAATACTCTTTTATTTCGATTGATTTATCGATCGGAAACGATTTGAGGCCTGTGGCTACACAGTTTCTTTAAGACATATTTTCTGTCACTCCTTGGTGCTCAAGATCATTGGTTATCTGTCTTCCATAATACAACAACTAAAACGATCAATGTACAGTAACACAAACTGTCAATATCACAAACTATTCCTTACATTCGACTATCACCGGGAAAATAGAGAAGGAGAGAAAATATTTTAAAGATTTTTTTGAAGTTTTTGAGTTATGAGATGTATTTAACCTATAAAATTAGCTCTATCTCTATCTACAAGGGATTCTCAAAAGTGATTTACTCAAAATAGATATATTTTAATATTCAAATTTAAATTGATAATAATATCATTTAATTTGAAATATTCAAAATATATAAATACCTTTTAATATTCAAACTTAAAGAGATAATAAATATTTTTTAATTTGAGATATTCAAAATTATATAATTATCTTTTAATATTCAAAATTAAATAGATAATAAATATTTTTTAATTTGAAATATTTAAAAGAATAATTGTCCTACTAATATTTAAATTAAAAAGATAAATATTTTTTAATTTATATTATTATAAATTTAATTTAATTATTAAATCCATCAATGAATTCACTCGCTTCTTTCCAACACAGTTTTGGTGATGTGTGCTGCTGGAGCTTATAGCAAGAAGAAAACATGTTTGCTGGATTATGAAGAATAAGAAGAAGAAAAGAGAGACATTGTTTTTTTTATTTTTAAGTGTCAACTCATAATTCCGTTAGTAGGTTAACGAAATAAATGTCTGAGGGACTAAAATTAAAAGGACCGATAAAAATCACTCTTTTGTTGAACTAGTGAACAAAACCAATCAAATTGAAAACAAAATGGATCATCGTTTACTCTAAAAAATAATATTTCAATAATATAGCCGTTATGTTGAATCTCAAATTCAACTATTCAAGGCAGCTGGATTTCCATTGTGCTTCCACTAAACAATAAATCTATACGAAGTCTTTGAGAAAATTAACTATGAAAATCGAGGTAGAACAGTTGAAGCGCCCATGTGATGTAAGAAAGTTAAATCTGAAGAAGACAAAAATGCACATAATGCTAGAAAAACAACAAGAAATTAGATAAAGTGGAAAGAATCAACATTTTGTTTTTGTTTTTATATGCTGTCCATTGTTCATTAGAACCAAAGAAATTCTCTCACTTGGAAAACAAAGAAGAGTAATTGGTTATCAGACTCTGTTTTCGACCCGCAAAAGAAAATGGCAGACGCTATTGTGTCGTTGGCTGTTGAAAGGATTTTCGACTTCTTACTCATGATGAAAGTTGGAAGCTTTTTATCAGAAAAGCATTTCCCCGAAACAAATGTGGAGGTCTACCTCTAGCAATTGTTGTGTTGGGAGGCTTGCTAGCAACTAAACAAACACCATAGTTCTGCGGTACGACAATCTAAATTAAAGTTAAAAATATTAGAAATAGGCGCAATTGAAAATTTGATTAAAAAAACATAACATTTTAAGAAGAAAATTGTAGCGTCAATATGACATAGGTATGAAACTATAAAGCTTTCATCTTTGGAGGAAGAAAATTGAAAGAAAAAAAGAAACTGAAGTGAATGACAATCGGATTCTATGTCAATAAAAACAATCAATATAGCATATGTGATTGTCATGTCACCATTTTATTTATGATTTAACACATGAGTGGTCAAAATAGGAGCAAATTAAAAGTTTAATGAATAAATTAAAATTTGGGTAAATAATGTGTTTACTACTTAAACTATCAGTTTTTGTATGTTTTAATACATAAACTTTTAATTTTTTTAAAATCATATCTTTTTACTTTTTTGTTTTAATTAAATTTGATGGTTGTTACAATCCAGACACCTAAAAGTGTAATGTTGGAAACGTTAGGTACCTATTTTTAACGAAAATTTATTTAGACACCAAAAATCAATTTGAGGTATAGTTTAGGCATTTAAAATTGTATTAAGCTAAATAATAATTCCAAGTAAAGAGATTCCTTTGCTTTTGTTTTTTTGTAAAGTACATAAATGGTCCCCTACCTATATGGTGTTACTTTATTGAGTCCATTAACTATTAAAAGTTATGAAATGGTCCCTTGAGTATAGAGCATTGCTTTGTTGAGTCCTCTGACTATTAAAAGTTACAAAATGGTCACCCTACTATTCATATGTTCCAAACTCGTCCTTTTCTGTTAAAAAATTAGTTGTAGTTTGAGCTGGAAGTTAATATGCTGACTGTGATATAATAAAATATAATCTTAAAATCTCAAACAACTATCATATCTCAGTCAACAGTTTAACGTCCATCTCAAATTGTCATTATTTTTTAACGGAAAATGATGAGTTTGGAACATATGAATAGTCGGGTGACCATTTTATAACTTTTAATAGTCAAGAGACTCAACAAAACAATATTCTATAGTCAATAGATCATTTCGTAACTTTTAATGGTCAAAGGACTTAATAAAGTAATACCATATAGTCGGGGACCAATTGTGTACTTTACTCTTTATTTTTCAGTGCAAAGTTAAATAAAAAGGATCATCGAATCTTTGGCGTCAGCTTCCTCCGAATTTCCACTTTCACAGAAACGTGTGAATTTATCCCTCAGACTTCGAGTACTTGTCCTTTTATTTAAGAAATCAATATAATTTCTAAAGCTTTTCCTGTGACCTGTCCAGAGATAAAGGGTACTACCTCCTCCACCATTTACATCAATTAATCTGCAGATCCTGCAGGTCAATTACAAATTTAGACTGTTTTCGATCACTAAGGAGTAATGGCAGCAGAGGCTATTGTGTCATTGGCTGTTGAAAGAATCTCCGATTTACTCATCCATGAAGCACTTTTCCTCAAAGGTGTGAAAGAACAGGTTGAGAGCCTAAAGGACGAACTAAAGCGTATGCAGTGTTTCTTGGAGGACGTTGATCTTCGGCCGGAACAAGACAAGCGTCTCCGTAATCGGGTATCGGAAATCAGAGATCTCGCTCACGATGCTGAAGATGTCATCGACTCTTTTATCCTTAAAGGCATTCACCTCCATCAAGGTGATTTTCATGGAGTTGTCAAGAGATTCACCTCGATTTTCACCAAGCCTTTTCATCAACACAAAATCGGAGTGCAGATCAAAGCAATCCAGACCAAGCTTAAAAGCATTTGCGAGACTCTTCCAGCCTATGAGATATCTGGTGATGGAGCAGGATCTAGCTCTGTTTCCAGTATGCAGCAGCGGTTAAGAAAGACATTCTCTCATGTTGAGCAAGAGGATATCGTTAGCTTGGAGGTTAGCACCAAGGATGTTGTGGCGCAGTTGATGACAGAAGAAGACAGACTCCATGCCGTTGTCTCGATTGTTGGCATGGGGGGCATCGGAAAGACTACTCTTGCCAGAAAAGTATACAATCACGTCGATGTGAAGTGGCGTTTTGATTGCTTGGCTTGGGTTTCTATATCTCAACAATGTAAACCAAGAGAAGTTTTGCATGATGTCCTGATGAAGATTCAACCTGGAGGAGAATCAATTGACAAATTGAATGAAAATCAGATGATTAGAAGTCTTTCAGATGTTTTGAAAGAAAAGCGATACTTGGTGGTCTTCGATGATGTTTGGAGAAACGAGCAATGGGACATTTTGAAACCTGCTTTTCCACGAGGAAAAAAAGGAAGCAAAATTCTATTCACAACACGCAACAAGGATGTGGCTTTACATGCGGATCCTTACAACTCTCCAATCGAGCTCCCACTCCTTTCAGACGATGAAAGTTGGAATCTTTTGAGTAGGAAAGCATTCCCACGAAACCAGATGAACTCTACTGTCTGCTCCAAAGAATTTGAGAAGCTCGGAAGGGAGATGGTGAAAAAATGTGGAGGTCTACCTCTAGCAATTGTTGTGTTGGGAGGATTGCTAGCAACTAAACAGACACAGGGTCAATGGGAGATGGTTCACAGGAACATCTTACAAGGACCCTTGAAAGGGTTCCAATCACAAGGCCATCCATATGGTGCAGTGAATGCAATCTTGGCTTTAAGCTACAATGATTTGCCTTATCATTTAAAACCATGCTTTCTATATCTTGGTCATTATCCAGAAGATTGGGAGATATCAAAGAAAGAACTCATTCGGTTATGGATTGCTGAAGGCTTCATTTCACCATCACTAGAAAGCAGGGAAATGCTGATGGAGGATGTGGGCGAACAAATCTTCGAAGAGCTTATGAATAGAAGTTTGGTTCAACTCAGCAGGCGAGACTATACAGGGACAAATGTGAAAACATGTCGGCTACATGATCTCTTGAGGGACTTGTGCATAGATAAAGCAAGAGAGGAGAATTTTTTGGAAATTGTTCAGCCACCATGGACTGAATCCGATGAATCTGATGTGACTCTGGCAAAATCTATGCTGCGAAGAATTTCTATTCATCCTACCAAAAGGTATGTTTGTTTAAAGGGAGAACATAAGAAATTACGTTCTTTGTTGTTGTTTCAAAATGAGGAATTGATAGAACTGCACATTTCAAAATGCCAAAATTTCAAATTTTTAAGGGTGTTGACTGTTGTAGCAAATGCTTTTGTGGAGTGGCATGTGTCAAGTGAAATCGGTAATCTCCATCATTTGAGGTATTTGAGGCTATACGGTGATACAATAATGTTTCCCCGGGCTATCAGAAGGTTGAAGAGTTTACACACTTTATACCTCCAATATGATATAGGGATTGCAATTCCTGATGTTGTATTCGAGTTGGAACGTTTGAGGCATATTGTATTGCGTTGTCGGTTTGGGGTAGGAGATGAACCGTGCATGCGCCCAAGGTTGATTCCAAAAAATATTGAAACTTTAGAATACATAGGAGTGGATGAGGAATTGATTAAAAACAAGTCACTGCAACGATCGAGAAATCTTCAGAGTCTAGGACTGATATTCGAGAGAGCAGAAGACGTGAAGCCTATCCTACTGTCGTTGATGGAATTACAACGCCTTGCATCATTGTACATCAAGTTTAAAAGAGGTTTAACCCCATCGTATCCAGAATTGGAACCTCTTTCTCAGTGTCATCGTCTCTCTAAACTAAAGTTGGACGGGAAGATAAAAGATCCACAAGGGAGCCATCATGTTTTGAAATTTCTTCCACCAAGCATCATCAAGTTAAATTTGTCAGATTGTTGGATGAGTCAGGATCCAATGGTTGTATTGGAAAAGCTGCCTTGTTTGAGGATTCTTAGATTACGGTCTCATGCATATGAGGGGAGTAAAATGATTTGCTCTGCCAATGGGTTTCCTCAACTCGATTCTCTTGAATTACAGCATCTATACTACTTAAAGGAGTGGGAGATAGAAGAAGGTGCAATGCCACATCTCCGGAGTTTATGTTTAGAGGGGACTTCAAACTTGAAGAAGATCCCAGAAGGGTTGAAGTATATTACAACCCTCCAAGAACTTAAATTAACAGGATTGTTTGGTATGGCAGAGAGGATTGAAGGGATAGATGGAAGAGAAGGAGAAGATTTCTATAAAGTGCGCCACATTCCCCACATCCAAATAAATCACGGGTGAGTTATTTATCTATTTCTAAACTAATATTTCCTTTTAAAATTATTATTACTTGTATTCATAAGAGATGATGATAGATGTTTACCCTTTTCTTGTCCTCAGACAGGGACAAAGTCAGGATACCAGCTCAACGAGGTAAAGTATAATTAATAGAAAATGAGGGGCAAAATCAAAATTAACTAAAATTAGGAGGTGTAATTTAATATTTATCCATGTTTTTTTAATTATAAAAAAGAGGGGGCAGTGGCCCGGGACAACTGGATTTCCATTTTCTTTCCAATAAACAACAGATCTTAAATTAATTAATATTGTTTGCATCCGATGCAGTGGCGATGTCTTGAGATTATTAACTAAAAAGTCAACAATGCACATGACTAGTGCTAGAAAAATAATAAGAAATTAGACCAAGTGGAAAGAATCAGCTTGTTTTTTAATTCCGTCCATTGTTCATTCAAACCAAAGAAAGAGACGAGGGATTATAAATTAAACAATTTATAGTTGTTCACCAAATACAAAGAAAACAGGAATATAATTAAGATTATGCCCACACAAGTGGGTCTCTGACTTGGAAAACAAAGAAGAGTAATTAGTCATCGGACTCTGTTTTCGATCAGCAAAAGAAAATGGCAGACGCTGTTGTGTCGTTGGCTGTTGAAAGAATCTGAGAAGCTCGGAAGATAGATGGTGAAAATATGTGAAGGTCTACCTCTGGCAAGTGGCAATGATTTGCCTGATCATTTAAAACCATGCTTTCTATATCTTGGTCATTATCCACAAGATTGGGAGATACCGAAAAAGGAACTCATTCGAGTATGGATCGCTGAAGGTTTCATTTCACAATCCATGGAACTCATATGAGGTATTTGAAGTTAGAAGGTATGAAATAATCTTGCCCAGGACTATTGGAAGGTTGAAGAGTTTACACACTCTATAACTCCAATATGCATTGCGCGCAGTAATTCCTAATGTTGTATCCGGTGACATGACTTATTTTAATTAATTTCAGTTACGTTGATACCGACTTAGATTTTGATCACTGCTGACTGACCACCGCATCTATAATTGTTAAGACCCCAAAATGTTTAGGTCACACTATTAAGACCTCCTATTCGATCTCCTTTTCACTTTAATCACACTCAACTTGCGGCCACCATCCACGACCCACTTCATCACCACCTTCAACATCGACCAACAATGCCTCCATCGAAACACCAGCAAATCGAAATCACCTAGACTTATCGAGTTCACCATTGAACCATCTGCCAACGATCTGAACCATCCTGACACTAAATTGATCATCAAACGTTACTCGAAAAGTACAAAAATTTGCTGCTACCATCACCTAATCCTTAAACCCCAACCTATTGTTACTAACATTAATCCTTACCTACAAAAGAGAATCCAAGAAACCATTAAGAAAAAAATAAAAATAAAAGGAATTTCTCATTTTTGACGATTGAAATATGTTTCTCCAATCCTAAAGGTAGAAGAGTTCCACTCAACCAAATGGAAAGTTTGTTTTCCCTTTGAATGAAAATGTCGTTAGGGCACAAAGCTTGTACATGTGGGGACGTACGTAAAATTTTATACTGGGGTGAATGTCTAAAATTTTAAAAGGGACGAATTTATAAAATTTAAGGGGCAAAATAAAATTTTCAATAGAAAATACGTATAAAAAATATAAAATATATGGTAATTTTAAAATTCTAAGAGAGGACTGCCCCCATCCCCTAGGTCCATCCCTTTATATATAGACGACCTGAATAACATTTATACGTGGGTCTCCAAATTTAGGGGTCTTGTAACGTGTCACATAATAAACATGCAAATGGACGTGCTTGGTAATCGGATAAAAATAAAGACGAAACTTCAAGTGAGATTTAACGACTATTGAAAAGTTTTTGCTGAAATTTGATAGTAAAAAAGAAAGGACAATAAGAGGAAGCTCCTAGTGCATGGTTTGACCATCAAAGACCATTGCAAAGCCGAGATTTCACAAGAGAAGGAAAACAATGACGTTAGATTCATAGAGTTTGAGATGTTTTTTATTATCAAACGAACATGTGATTCGTGCGAATGAATGTACAACGAGTTTGGTGGAATTTTCCGAGACTTATCAGCCACCGTTGACAACAGTTGGCAATGGTCGGCATGATGATTTTTTGTGTCAATAGCATGCCATTTATTGATAGTGACGCCGGACAGAATAATGATTATTATGCAGGCGCTCCAACAGATGATTTACAAGAGAAAATTCGCCTAAAAAAACCAAAGAAAAAAGTATCTAGGTTTTAATAAAATATTATAAAATCAAAACCATCCAAAATCAGTCCACAAGCCGGACTGTTATAGCCAAAAAATCGTCTTTATTAGAATTTTGCCAAAAATAGCAAAATCCCGAAAATCACTCTAAATTGAAATTCGAAATAAAATAAGCAATCTCCAAAAAATCCGGCCTAAATCGGATTTAAATTGACTTCCTAATTGACAATCGAAATATTACCATAAATAGTAAAAAATATCTAAATCTAGTTATTCGGAGGGAAAAACGGTAGAATTTGAGGTTGAAAAAAGGCCACATGGAGCATAGCTAATGTGGAGAGCGTGTGCGTCGAAAAGAGCTTTCCGAATCGGGGTCTTATGCGCGATTCTGACACATGTAGCCAAAGTTATGACCAAAAGACTGAAACATACTCAAAACGACCCCAATGAGGAACATGTCACAATCAATTCCCGTCTTTGCGCTGATCTGCCAATTCATGGTATCTCAGCGCCATCAAGGTGCAATCTGACAGCTCAGCATCATCTGTCTCGGATCCCCCTGCATCAGATAGCTTGCTCTGTTTACTTTAGCAGTTGAAACTACTTTCCATAGCATTTATCTCGAAAATTCTAATCTTCATGAACTTGACTAGTTCGGTAGAGTTACATTGTTTAACTGTTTTGTGTTTGTTAAGTACAGCCTCTTGGTGATATTTTCTTCTATGAACTGCCTTCAAATGTGTTGGATAAAGCAATGTGTGGCTCTTACCATTTGTGTTCTGTATAAATGCACCAATATTTCCATTGGATCTCATTAGGCGACGGAAACAATTGGAGGGGGGCTGGTGGATGAGCCTGTGTCTACACAACAGGGCTTTTTGGCACATTTATGCACATATTCAAGACCGAAGGCTTTCGTGGTATATATAGAGGGATATTGCCTGAATATTACAAAGTGGTCCCTGGTGCTGGTATATGTTTCATGACATACGAAACATTGAAGATGCTTTTAGCAGACGTTAGCACAAAGCAATGGTTTGGCTATTCGATCCGCAACTGAAATGACAGGTCAGCTAAATCGGTTCATGTGATAGTACATCGACATTTAACTTTCATAGCTCTTGTTGCAGTGGCAAATTTTGTTATGCTATTGTGAGAAATATATTTTTCCATGTAAATAGATGGATAGTGTGACTTACATTTCAAGTGTAATCTACGATATTATTTGCATCTTTAAGTATTCGATACTAATGGTGGTCGTCTTCGAACACCCTTTTCCCGGATTCATGTTTTTACCTAATTGCAGAGATCACTGGCAAGTATCATTACATTTCAACTTCAAATTTTAGTAATATTTCACCTTCTCTTACGAAGAGACTTGCTTGTTTAATTAGTCTTGGATTATATCTGCTGTAATTTTATCTGCAACTTGATGCTTGAAGAATTATGAATTAAATCCGTATGCAAAATTTGTTTTCCGGGAAAGTCGAAGCATTTTCTGTCATTGATCTTTCTTCAAGGTAATATATATATTAAACTCATCTTATTTGGCAACAGTAAATGTTAAAACCAAGTTATTTTGAACCTGAAACATCATCTTTAACATTGTATTGTCATGGAACCCATGAAAATTTTGGGGAGAAGCTATTTCAATCTTCTGTCATGACTTTCAACACTCTTTTGACAAACTGAATCATCACTGAGGTTTTCACAACGGGAATTTTCCGGTCAGGCGAATGTGGTCTAAGGTTCGACGTAAACCGTATTTATTGACAGCTGCATTGGCAGCTCGGAACCCTCCACCGTAGGCAGGGGAAGCATCGTGAGCAATCTGGTGAATGAAGAACTCACCAAGCTTATTTTCGACATTAGATTTCCATCCTTTCTTAGATGAGGAAGAAGATGAAGAAGCTGCTGATGTTGATGCTCGACTGCTCGATCCCGGCAGTACTTCGGATTCGAGCCACATGTATGATAACACTTGACAGATACCTTCCTCGACCTCTGGATTCAGATTTCGATATCCTGCAGTGTATGTTAATGTAAAAAAACAACATAAAAATATAAAAATGGGAGGAATATTAAAAACTTCATGAATAAGGATTGGTTGCATGTATTTTACCTTTGAGGCGTAACCAGCCATGCATCAATTCGTGGGCGAGAATCGCCCCCGTCAGCAATCTGCATATTCCGGCAAATATTACTGTTTGAACTTCGACAAGAGATAAACAGAATCATGAACAACACAAAGAAGAAATTCAATGGGATTGTACCTTGGAAGACCATAAAGAACTAAAATGGCAGTGACTTCACACTTCCTCGTCAGCTTCTGGGGTTGAGTTCTCATTCCTATAAGATGTCGGCCTCCTATTCGCGGTCTCTTTAGTATCTGTAACAAAGAAAACAAAGACAAAGTCGGACTTATGTTGATCAACAAAGCAGAACGACGGTGGAATTAGTTCAGTCGACATACACTGGTAACAGTCTGTTCTTCAGACAGACATAAACCCCTTATCTCGGGCATATGATAATAACCCTGGAAAAGAACCAAAACTGAAACATCAAAGCCATTCCATAGAACGCAACAGGTGTCAAATAAATTGAGCAAGGGATCATAAAGTTACATTCTTTTCTCCAACAATAGCTTCATTAAGTGCTTATCTTTCGACGAGAAGCATCGGAATTTGCTGGTCTAGCTTCATGTTCATTCATTAGTAATAGTCTCTAATGGCATGGTAAAGAGGCTGGCAATCACCAGTGTCCATGATTGCAGATTCCATGCATTCCAAGCATAAACTCCGACCATCTTCGAGCGAATAATATCTTACGTTCCAGGACTTCAGGAGACAAAAACCGTGAAGAAAAGCAGGGTTTCAAGGAGAAAACAAAACGATAACCAACAACGCCAATTGTTAGCAGAAAGTTTGAAGCTTTAACACACATTAAAAAGAA